TCTAAAATTTTCAATATTTCTAAGTGACAATGTGGGTCTGTTTTGACCAATAAGGTATATTGAAGAGGCGCTATCACGTGACTTTTTATGGTCAGAGAGAGCGGCCATATTGTTCAGGGCGAGGACAACTCTACAGACAATACTGTTAGCTGTTAAAGTGCCTATGACATCAAATTTTTGTAGTAATCTTGAATGCATTTTTGGAAAGATAACATTGATAACATATTGCAAGACAAATTTCACGTCACTGAGATAAACGGTTGTTGAGTTATTGACATGTGAAGAAAAAGGAAGTGATGCAAAGGGGAATGTCTGCATGTAAACAGAGCGTTGTTGCAAAAGCTAACAACACAGACTGTAGAGAAGAATCTGATGTTTCTTTAGATTATTTTGAGTCGCTATCAAATAGAGGTGAAGAAAAGTTAAAGTTTAAATAATTTCATTTTAATAAACAGAGACCAGCAAGTTTATTTTATTGAGTTCCCTTTTGATGTCACATCCTGTTTCCCTTCGGCTGAGCCAAATTTAAAAGAAAATAGGCCCGTTATGTGACAAAATGGGTAAAAACATGTGTACTATGCCAATTTTATTAAGTATAAAGACGTATATTAAGTACAAAGTATATTAGCCAGTATATTAAGTATAAAGATTGTTTGTCAGTACATACATATCAAGCTAAAACATGCTACCAACACGGCTGCTATGAATGACATTTCTAACAGGCTGAAGCTAGCCAATGAAAAGCTAATATTTATCTGTAATCCTACACATAAACGCAGCCATGACAAATTGTCACTCCCGCCCCTTCCAATATGGCGCTCGTACCACAGCGGTCAATCTTCTGAAGCATACTGTACGTGYCGCTTCTATACACTTCTGTGTCTCATTGATTTTGACTTAATTCAATTAATGCAAGGGGCTAACTCTGAATTACAACTTAGTCATCATTTGTGATTTGATTTTATTATACATAACATTAAATTAGATTTAGAAAATGCAAATCTCAGTTTTACTTGTATGACATCCTGCAGAAAGTCATTTTTATCAAAACGTAAGACTGCACAGTTTTAAAAAGCTAATATCAGTGTGATATCAGCTGTGGCAAACTCCTAATTATTGAGTTGTAATTTAGTATCTTAAAGTGCCTGTGACATGCATATCTTTCAAATACAAAAAAGTCAAAGAAAACATCTTTATATTTAAGAAACTTAATAATACGCATGATTTTTCCAGTTTTGTCACATAGATGTCAAATTTTCTTTTAAAGCTGACTCAGCCAGAGTGAAACAGGAAGTGACATCAAAGTGGAACTCATTAAGAAAAGGAACTCTCTGGTCTTTGCTTATTGAGTGATGATTTTTACATGATGATGTGCTGAAACTGTCAGCTTAAATCAGTAATGAAAACAACAGTCAGTTGCTGTGAAAGCTGTCTTCATGCTGACGTTCACTGATCCACTGACTTCTTTCAGGAAATCTTTAGTTAAGATCTGGGAGTCAGGAGGACTCTTAGTTCTCATTCTGTGGTCCTTCCTGCAGTTTTTTGCTGCCTGATTATTTTTTCTTCTTCTTCACTGGGAAAATCTTTAAAGGTTGCAGCTAATTGTTTTACTTCAGCCCATTTCTAGCCAGTAAGATGATAGGAAGACGTTCGGAGCTCTAACATGAACCACAGAGTCGTCTCTGAGGTGCTGAAAGTCAACATTTAGATGTATTTAGTGACTAAGCTCTAAATCTTTACAAACTCAAACTCACATCTTCAGTCTGATCATTTTAAATCCCAGACAGAGTTCTTTATTGCTTTTTAAAAACACTTTTATTTAACTAAATTATTTCCCAGCTGGCAACATGCTTTCAGATCAAACACTTGTGTTTTTAACACACTGTATCATTACTACCCCCCCCGACACACACACACACACACACGCACGCACGCACGCACACACACGCACGCACACTCCTCATGCTGCCACACTGAACTGAAGACCACAACAGAAAACTGGGTTGTTCCCGGGTTCAGTTCAAGGTTGAGATCCTGATTACAGATTTGTAAAAATGGAAATGCACTCTCGGTATCATCATCATCATCATCATCATCATCATCCTCATCCTCATCCTCGACACTTCTGGGGTTCAGTTAAAGATCAGCAGGAACTGCCTAATGACGTTTTTCTTTGTCAGAGGTCCAGGATTTATATTTATACTTGTTGTGTTTTCAGACTTTTTTAGTGCTTCCTAAAATAAAATTCATGGAAATTGTAGAAAAGCTGCAACATGTATAATAATTTATTAAAAATGCAACAAAAGATGCAGCACTTAGAATGAACTACAGCATATTTAAAGGCTAGAAAAGTTGCAACAAGACTTCATTTGTTCCAGATCTTAACTTTGGATCTTAACTTTCTTAACTTTTAACTTTTTTATCTTGGAGAGCGGAGGTGTCAGTGTTTGTCCTCAAAGGGCCAGTTGTAACTAATTTTATTTACACTCATTCCTCATCTCATTGCTCCAGCTGAGCACCGCTAACAAATAATAACTGAGCTCTACGTGGTTTTTCCTGCATAGAAACAGCGTTTTAACACGTCCTCTTATAAACACTGAGAAATACTATGCATACGACTGACTAAAGTGAAATAAATAATGCAGAAGTACGATTAAAAGTAAGTGATTTTTACTCACTGTTGAGTTAAGGCGAGCAGCTGCCATCTTGAAAGCTGAACGCTCACTTTCTGACAGAGAATTCCTTTTGTTCCAGTTTAGATTTACAACTTCCCACTTCGCAGTACAACTGGGCCGCAGTAAAAGTAGCCAGTGAAAATATAACTAAATAGATTTTAAACAGCAAATTTTGTTGGACACGTTTGAACCATAGACTTAAATAAGATCACTAGACTGAGCCCCGCCCATCCCGTCCACTGGTAGCATCTGTGACAGCATGGAGGAGCAGAAACAGACCAAACAGGACAACAGCTCACAGCCACCATAGAAACATAGATAAACAACAAGCTGAACCAGATCTGTTTCACAGATTATCTGTCATGTTTTTACAATAAATTAATAATTATGTTAATTTCATTCAACAATCATGTAAAACAGCAGATTTATACCAGAAAAATTAATAATTTA